AACAATTGTTCTAATGCGCATGCAGCTTGATATGGAATGGGCTTTCGCGCGGGCCGCCAACGTTCAGAAAGATATCACAGATATTGTATTAAAGGCGTTGACAGCATTGAGGTCCGCCCATAGCTACCAAACATTTCGTGGAGAGAGAGTTCCCGATCTGTCTGCCATCCCCGATGGTCCCGTGGGAGCAGATGAACTCCCAGCTCACCAGTTCACCACCCTGACTTTCGCAGACTGTATAGCTATGTACGGGATCGACAAACCCGATTTGAGAATACCGTCTCGGGTGAGTTGCGTCGAGTAATTTCTCACCTATCTTGTATTAACAGCCGAAAGATTTATCCTATCACTGTTCCGGACACCGCCCGGGATTTTGTCGGCATGATATCGCACCTTCCTGAGCCCCTCGTCGAAGGTTTCTCGTTCTCTTTGAATGACGGTTCACCTGACGTTTCTCGCCGATTTGTCAATAAATTCATGCAAGATTTACCCTCATCATTTACGGACAACCCCGACGGACAACCTCAAATCCTTGTATACGACTCAATGAAGCCTCTGGGCGGCTTTTCCTCCATCGGTTTCGAGTACGAGAGTGTTTTAAACGAAGTATCAGGAGGAAAGGAGCTTCAGGATGGAGATCTGGTAGTCTTCCAGGCAAGACAGCAGCAAAAGGGCCAGTATAGTTTCTCCTCGACCAAGATTGGAGAATTCCGAGTGGCGCTATGGAAAGCGCTTGTTGAAGAAGGGCTCATGAGCAAGCCTCGACTCGGCGAACCGGGGTCGCTGCAGTTCCTCTGGGTGACCGAGTTCCCAATGTTCAAGCCTATTGAGGAAGATGAGCCATGGAAAGTCAAGGATGCCGGTGCCGGGATTTCCGCCTGCCACCATCCCTTCACATCTCCTCTGTCCCAGAAGGACTTGGAACTCCTGTTCACTGATCCTTTGGAAGCCCGCAGTGCGGCATACGACCTTGTCTTGAACGGCACAGAGGTTGGTGGTGGAAGTGAGCGTATTCACATTGCAGAAGTGCAAGATTTCATCATGCGCGACATCCTCAAGATGTCTGACAAGAGGGTCAACGATTTCTCACACCTGTTCGAAGCCCTGCGAGCGGGCTGCCCGCCCCATGCAGGTTTCGCGCTTGGGTTTGATCGCTTGGTGGCCCTCTTGACCGATACCCCTACAGTGAGGGATGTGATCGCCTTCCCCAAGACAATGAAGGGAGAAGATCCATTTGTACGTTCTCCAAGCAAGGTCACAAATGATCAACTTGAGCCGTACGGACTCAAGATTGCTGGGAGCAAGAAGTAGCCGGCTTTCTTCTTGTCTTCTGAGCTTGATGAATGTGGCATACTCTGCCCGCCTACCCCATTCCCTCACCCGGTAAAGCTACCCGCGTAATTATACGCCCTTGCAGCCTGTATAATGAATTCTGTACAAGAATCAATGTATAAAGTAAATAGAAATTAGCATTGTAATACCACGTTACTAATGGATTCTTCGAGAATTGATCTGATGCATTGGTAATTGTCGTATGATTGGTACTCAAGTCGGTCATGTTATTTTGATATAGGCTCAAAAGTTTTTAGGCTTACGCCCGACCAGTACCACCATAGAATACGAGCTTGGCATTCTGCTGTACAACAGACGGTTTTTTTGGAGGTTGTTGATGCGAAACAATGTGGATTTTGACTTGAAACCGCCATCAATGGATATTTGGCGTGCTTAGTGTGGTTTAGTGCGGCTGCCAGCAATCAATGCCAGCCATTAGAACAAGGAGGTTGCTTTGAATATTGTAGAGCATCCATGACTCTTATTTTTTTCATTCCAATCGAGGAGCATGGACCCCGGTAAAATCAGCAGAAGAAAGTGCTATCCAAGAATTGCGGTGACGTATCCCGGCTGTTATAATTATTTATCCATGAGGCGGGAGATGATCGCCTTCTCTACATAAATTACTACTGGGGAATCGAAGACACCGCCGGTGCTGAGAGAACAGAACCCTCATCCGTCAACCATGCGGCCTCCCTCAGCACAAACTTCTTTGCCTCTTTTGAGCCTGCTGTTGCCTTTGGCATCGGCAGGTAGCTTTGAATCACCGCCGGTTTTCCCCAGCCGTAAGTTTCACCAAATGACTGGTCCAATAAACAAACAATAGACAAGCAGCTAACCAGCAACCAGCATCCGGGAAGGGAGATGGCGTCTGGACAAATGCGTATGCAAGCGCACGCAGCCTCGTAGGGCAGATGACATTGGAGGAAAAAGTCAACATCACGCGAGGCTTCAAGGCAGACAATGTCTGTGCTGGTACGACTGGCACTGTCCCCCGGCTGGACTGGCCGGGCATGTGCCTCCATGATGCTGGGAATGGTGTCAGAGCGACCGACTTTGTCAGCTCTTTCCCGTCAGCTATCCACGTAGGAGCCAGCTGGGACAAGAATCTGACCTACCAAAGGGGTTGGTATATGGGAAAAGAGTTCAAGGCAAAAGGCGGTGCGTCAACCACCCCAAAGTGCGGATCCCACTGAAGTTATGCTCACAAAGAGCCACAGTCAACATCATCTTAGGGCCCAACGCTGGACCTCTGGGTCGTAGCCCTCTGGGTGGTCGTAACTGGGAGGGATTCAGTGTTGACCCCTACCTGTCCGGAAAGCTCAATGCTGAGTCCATTGTTGGGCATCAGGAAGCTGGCATCATCGCCAACATCAAGGTATGATATCAAGTGACCGGAATTTAGTGCCCCCGTTGCTAATATACATACCGAAGCATTTCATCGGCAATGAGCAAGAAACCTACAGGAGACCTTACTTTGGCGTTGAGGCGGTCTCTGCTAACATCGATGATAAGACTCTCCACGAGTACTATCTTTGGCCATTTGTTGATGGCATCCACGCGGGCGTGGCATCCGTAATGTGCTCTTACCAACGCATCAACAGCACCTATGGTTGTGATAACAGCAAGACCCTCAATGGAATTTTGAAGACCGAGCTGGGGTTCCAAGGATTTGTGCTTCTGGATTGGAACGCCATCCATCATCTCACGAGCGCAAACGCTGGTTTGGATATGGTAATGCCTCTTGGAGGGAGTTTTGGGAATAATCTGACTGATGCCGTTCGCAACGGTACTGTGACTGCGGATCGGGTGACCGATATGGCAACCAGGTGAATTTGGCTCCAAGCAACCGGTATAAATTTACATTCTTACTAACGAGATACAGAATTGTTGCTGCCTGGTACCTCGCAGGCCAAGATGGAGGAAAATTCCCGGAGCCTGGAATCGGCATGAAGAACCTAACCGAACCCCATGAGCAGATCGATGCTCGCGATCCAGCCTCCAAGCCAATCACTCTGGAGGGTGCCATTGCGGGCCACGTTCTTGTCAAGAACGAAAACAAAACACTCCCCTTCAAGGGCCCTCTGAAAATGATCTCAGTATTCGGCTATGACGCAACGATCCCGCAAACCAAGAATACCGACAAGCTCTTTGAGCTGGGCTACACATCATCCGAGGAGATGGCACAGGCAAACCTGGGAACGCCTCAACACTTTGATCAAGCAGCTAGAGGTGGAACTATTGTCACCGGAGGACGAGCCGGTGCCAACGCACCGGCTTATATGATCGATGTAGGTGAACTCCTTAACCCAAGACAGAAACGATTATTCTAACAAGACTACCAGCCACTCAATGCGTTGCAACAACGAGCGGCAGCTGATGACACTTGGGTGAACTGGGACCTCAGGTCCCACGACCCGAGTGTGAACGCTGCCTCTGATGTCTGCCTGGTCTTCATCAACGCGATAGCAACCGAGGGCTGGGATCGCGACGGTCTGCATGACGACTTCAGCGATGGCCTTGTCCAGAATGTCGCCCGCAAATGCGCCAACACAGTCGTCGTAATCCACGCAGCCGGCATACGCCTCGTAGACCAGTGGATCGAGCATCCCAACGTCACGGCCACAGTCATTGCCCACCTCCCCGGACAGGACAGTGGCACGGCCCTCGTGAAGCTGCTGTATGGAGAGGCTGGATTCTCAGGAAAGCTGCCTTACACCCTCGCCAAGAACGAGACCGACTACGGGAGTGTTCTGCGCCCTTGTGGAAAGTCATCGGACAGCGATACAGACCCCCAGTGCGACTTCTCCGAGGGCACCTACCTCGACTACCGCGCCTTTGACGCGCATGACATCACGCCACGGTTTGAATTCGGGTTCGGACTCAGCTACACTACATTTAACTACACAGACCTGAAGCTCACTCGCGAGGGCCTGGCCGCCTCTGCCCCATGCAACGGCGAGAACCGCTGGGACCTCGCAGCTACCGTCACCGCCTCGATCGCCAACACCGGAGACCGGGAGGGCGAGGAGGTAGCCCAGCTGTACGTTGCGATCCCGAACTCGCCGCCGCGCCAGCTTCGCGGCTTTGAAAAGGTGCGGCTGCAACCGGGGGAGGACGCAGCGCTGACGTTCCAGCTCGACATGAGAGACTTTGCTGTCTGGGACGTTGTGAGCCAGGAGTGGATCATCCAAGAGGGCGAATATGGCATTTTCGTGGGAGCAAGCAGCCGGGACCTGAGATTGAAGGACAAGTTCGTTATCTGACCCATTGTACGTGGGCAGTGGCTTCGTTTTGGCTCTTGTCTAGACTCTAGGGTCTATTCATATGATCCGACATAGATATTAGATAGACATAGAGCGATATGATACATTGGTGGATTGTCAAATGATGGAGCCGAACCAAGGTCATCTTGATCGTCTCTGAGCCGTATAAGAGCTGAATTTGCCAAGGCCACACATCGGTACACAAGCATGCACTAACTTGCTCTTCATTGCTATTGGAACAAACTACTAGCAAGATGAAACACGAACCATAACGTACAATGACCCCCAAGTGAAACGAATCCTCATTAAGCGGCCTCGTCGAAGCAACAAGAAAACATTTGGAAGATGACCCTGCTCAGAGAAAAGGAAGGGAAGAGATCGGAGAAAGCAAGACATACCTCATCAAAGAAGACCGGGGAATTCCGTATGCCCAAATATTTCGCCTATACAATCGCTAAACGAAAACCTGACACTCCGCATGTTAAATCCCACATCCTCAACTATGTTGACGAAGTCGTCCCCGGGCGGCAACGTGCTTTGGGGTACTCTGCCGTCTTCCCCTAGCTCACCCGGGCTGAAGCTGCAGCGGAGGATGCCATTATTTCGGAAGAGCTCCTCTATCGCTCGGGGAAATCCATCCAAAATGTACAGCTCATTCTTCGTCATTTGGAAGAAATCCCTCGTTTCCTGACCACTCCTTTCGTAAAGCGCCTCGAAGTGGAGCTGAGTAGTGAGGCTCCTCTGGAAAACTCTGTCAAAGGTGATTCTCGCCCTGTCCGGCGCCTGATCATCGTCCAGAACAAAGCTGAAGGCATTGGGCGGCATGCCGGCGGGCCCCAGGTCCATTGCTTCAGCAAGCCAGACCGCTAAAGCTTTGGACAGATCGGATCTGGACCTGGTTTCTGCGGGGAACAAACCGTCGGGGACCTCTAAAATGTTACCGAATAGACTGACTCGCCTCTCGATGTGAAGGTGAGGATTCTGCTGGCAGAAGGGAATGAGTCCGCGAGCGTGGCATGCTGGGTAAGCGACGGACTTGGAGTCCTCGCGTAACACGATATTTCGAAGATGCATTCGCTGCTCGACAGACATCTGGCGGAGAAATTGAATAGCTGTTGTGGCCGCGGAGAAGTGATACGGCCTTGGGTGTTGGGAAGAACTCCTCCATGCGCCATGGACCTTCTTAACACCTTGCGCCCAGGCCGAGTCGCCTCGAGATTGATCATGTAAGGCAGCTTCTAGTCGCCGCAATTCACTTTCTGAGGGTATGTCCCAAGGTTTGTGATCAATAGTTAATATGCGCAAGGGGTCATTGTGGGGAGGTAGATCTGGGTGGCCCTGCAGAAATCTGGCCACGGCAGCAACGGCTTCCTTCTCCATTAGTAGCAGTGCCAACTGGCATGTGAGAACTGTTGCTTCTCGTGTATGAAAAGGGACATCACCCCATCGAGAGATTTCAGATATCCAGTTCCAGTTGTCCCCACCCTCCAGCGGCGGGTGTTGCCTGATGGCATCCAGCACTGGTGTGAAGCGCGGAAATCTCGAAGTTACTTCCTCATAGATTTCCTCTGAGATTGCTGGGCGCATATAGCAGAGGACTTTAAAACGCTGAGTGGATAGCGCGTGAAGAATTCGTGAGTATTCCCCAGCATGGCTGTAATTCTTTATGTGACAGCCCGTGGTAAAAGTGATCGTGTTGAACTCGAAAGGCAGACCCTGAGTCTCGGCAGCTATGGTACGGCACGTGAAGATTAAGGAAACCTCAAACTTTTCGTCTGGATCCTTTGCATGGAGCTTTTGACTGTCGTGGGAATAGAGTAGACCACCTGGACAATGAAAGTATAACTGGTAGATTTGCAAGCGGACCTCAATAGGGAGGCCCGTAAGACATGGTGATGGAAGCATTGTGAGAGAGCTTCAATTTGGATGGCAAATGTTTGCGAGTGAGGGAATAGCTGGCGGGAGAGAGAAGTGAATTGGGGTGGTGTTGCTCCCTCTTTATGCCTCCTGCAGCGGCTATGGGAGGGTTGTCATTGGAGAGCGGCGTTGCTACCTTACTTGACCGACGTAGCTTTCGTTAAACTCTAATTGTGTTCCATTGCAGAATAATACGCAGCCCAGAGCAGCAAATATTCCATTTGCGGGCTGATTCATGCATGTTGTGTTGCATGCTCTCCTCATAAGTATATCCAGCGCGCGCTCGTTGCATGTATCTATCTGGAAGAGGGTGGGGAGATATTGCCGGATTTCGCCGATACAATGTTCATCTAGCCTGGATCCAATTTTAATGCATAAATTAGCGAAACATCAGGAAATAGATAGAGTTCATCAGTTCCGAGCTTGGGAGACGTGCATCATGTCATGATGGAGTTGTCTGGTGAGAGCGATTGCTGCCCCACTTTGGATCCTTGGAGGTTCGTTGGTGTCTGCCGCCAAATTTCTGACCGCCAAAATTTTCAGATTCTGCCGCCTCCAACCTTGAACAAAATCCATCTCAGCCACCATCTTTCTGCCTGCACAGCAACAAACTCTCCTGTACTACACGTGCTGCCACTCCTGGCAATTGCGATAAACAGGGTCTTTGAAGATGTCTTCAATGCGAAATGCCATCCAGCGGAACCCCCACAGGGAGCGTGCTCAGCCGCTGGAGCGCCGACGCCTTGGTCTTTTGGAGAAGCACAAGGTCAGCACCGCGCGATGATCCCAGGACGCGCAACGCCTGCTAACTCGCAGATTTCAATGTACAGGACTACTCGAAGCGAGCACAGGACTACAACAAGAAGAAGAAGCAGCTCAAGAACCTCCGCGCCAAGGCCGCCGAGCGCAACGAAGATGAATTCTACTACGGGATGATGTCCCGCAAGGGACCCGGCTCGAAGCTCATGGACGGCAAGAGGTGGAGCGGGACGGTGCAGGGCGACCGCGGTAACAAGTCCATGAGCGTGGATGCCGTGCGGCTGCTGAAGACCCAGGATATCGGCTACGTGCGTACGATGCGACAGATTGCGCAGAAGGAGGTGGCAAAGCTGCAGGAGCAGGCTGTCTTGACGAAGGGTCTGGATCGCTTGGACGAGGATGACGATGACGAGGATGAGGACGATGACGACTTCGATTTGCCTCCCAAGTCAATGAGGGCCAAGCCCGCGAGGAAGATTGTCTTCTTGGACACGGAAGAGGAGCAAGACGATGTGGTGCAGGATAGACTTGAGGAGGAAGACGATCACGAAGAAGAATTCGAGGGGCTCGACGACGATGAGGAGAAAGCGGATGGGGCAGAGGACGAGAGAGAAAAATCGCTAAGAAGGGTACGGAGACAGCTTGAGGCCGCCAAGAACAAGTTGAAAGTTCTGACGGATGTCGAGAGGGAACTCGAGCTACAACGGGCAAAGATGGCCAAGACGGCCACATCCGGGGGTGAGACTAGGAGAGGGAAAAAGCTCAAGTTCCGCACACGAAAGAGGTAAATGTGTGCATGGGGATGATCCAAAAGCCTTTTATACCAGCAAAAACAAAACTATGCCAGTCTCGTCGACCCACGGTGGCTGAAATTAATACGAACTTTACGACTTGATTCATTCATCGTTTTGACACTTCCTCACGTTTGATCACAGAATTCAGTAAATGTTGGAGCAATCGTTGAGCCAGACGGTTTCTACTCTGGCTCGTTTCATTTTCTCATTACCCTAGTACTTGGACCCAACAACGCCATAGCAGCAGCAAAACATCGCCTTTAAACAACCGAAAATCTGAGTGAAAATCCATATCAAAGCCTTGAACGCCCACCGGGCCAGTTTCGCCGGGACCCGCAATACAAATGGCAGCTTGTCCAGCCCCTCCTTCACCTTGGTGTCCTTCTTCTTCTTCTTGTCCTTGCCCAGGCTGCTGCTCTGGCTCTCCAGATCCAGCTCAAAGACCTCGACGGGGCCCTTGCTCTTCTTGCCGAACGCCTTGCCGAAGACCTTCTCCCTGCTGCTGTTGCTCTTGAGGAACAGGGTCTGGGGAGGGGGCAGGACGGGAGGGGGCTCGAAGGTCTCGGCGGCGGGCTGGTTCTTCTCGTCCGCGGACGCGACGAGGATGAGCGCCGTGATGGCGACGTCGGCGATGTAGCACGACTCGATCTTGGAGGCGAGCCCCGTGTCGAACTCGAGCCAGCCCGCGCCGGTGCCGTCCCGCGTCAGCTTGGCCAGGTGCTGGGGGGACTCGTGGTGCTCGAGCGTGTACTCGACGCGCGACCACGCCGGCGACCGGTCAATGGTTACGCAGAATGGGGTCGCCAGGGCGGGGTGCACGAGGAAGTGGCTCGCGCTGTCGTCATCCCAGACCAGGCGCGCGCATTCCCGCTCGGCCATATAGACGGCCTGGGGATCGTTGGCCTTCTCCACCGCCATCTTGGCGGCTGCCCGGGGCATGAGGAGCGCGACGAGCCCGTCATTGGGTTGATGCCGGCGAGAGTCCTCCTCGAGGGTTGTCGTCAGAGCCTCGGTCCAGTGCTTCCCATCGGTGATTTTGGAGCTTCTCGGGCTGCTATTGCTTCCACCGCTCACGGCAGACAGCAAGCTGTTCCCAGAGATCGGGCTCGAGTCTCCTGTTGGGTCCTTGTACGGCTTGTTCGGGTCATGGCGCTTGACCGTCACATACGCCGAGGCGGAAGTCGGATCGATGCGAATATTGTAGAATGGTTGGGTGGACGAGGAGAGCGTATATACAGGCGCATCCTTCTCCTGCTCCAGCTTCATGCAATATACCCGACCCTCCAAGGGGGTAGCCCTCCACCCGTTGGCAACTCTCCAGAAAGACTTGAGCTGGCTCGTCGTGCAGGTCTGGGGTTCTACGGGAGGATCCCTTGGCAATGGGACGGCATGCCCCCACCTGGGATCGTCCTCGGAACCTCCCCGCAAGGGGCTGCGGGTGGTGACAGGAAGCGGAGGCTCCGGGTTGATGCCCTCCGCGTCGTCATTGGGGAAGAATGACTGCCTGCTGATGATGGCCTTGGGTATCCCTGCAGGACCGAGTTGCGTAGGCGCATAGTTTTGTTGGTTGAGGGGTATGTTGGGGTTGTAAGTCGGGAAGATGGACCGTACCTGGCCCGACGATCCTGCCTCCTCCTCGAGAGGCGGCTTCGCGATAGAACTTCGGTCCGGGTTGCGCACCAGCCTTGAGGGGTGTTGTTGAAGAGGATGCTGCGCCTGAGGCTGCTCGGCCGCTACCGGTGTCTGCTCCCTGGGCAGTGGTGGCAGTTCCCGTTGTTCCCTCGCAGGGGATTGTGTCTGTTGCTCCCTTGGCTGTTGTTGGTGTTCCCTCGCAGGCGATTGCATCTGCTGCTGCTCCCTCGATACCGACGCTTGTCGTTGCCGCTGCCTCGGCGGTGACTGCTGTGGCTGCTGTTGCGACGACGGCGACTGTGCCTGCAGCTGGGGTGTCTTGCGGCCGTTGCTTCGTGGTGGTGAGGTCGCCAGCGACAGCTCTCCAGGTTGGGGGGTACGGGTCCGGGCACTCTGCGGTGTCCGGGCTCTCCGTTCACGGGATTCTGATCGTCGAGGGCGCGAGGCCGCCTGCCCGACAGATATTGGCGGGGTAGAGCTGCTTGGGCTGGGGAAGAGGGAGAAGGCCCCGGGAGTAGGAGATGTGGAGGACATGACAGCCAATGTGTCGAACGTGTATTAGAGACCAAGATGGACCACCAGATACGGCAACTGGTTCACCAGGTCTCGCAAACGGTTTCAATGGGATCAGGGTGTTAAAACGTATAGAGCAGATATGGAGGAAAAGAAGAAAAAGAACCAAGTCGTAAATCAGCAACCCGCTATCACAGTATCATAGTCTGTCGTTAAAGTCGTTCAGTAGAATGCCCGTGTAAGAGCACCGGAGGGGAGGCGGAGGAGAAGCGAGGAGTGAAACGAGCAAAAAAGCCAAGAGCCCGAGAGCCACCGAATCATTATATACGACCTGCCAGGAACCCATCGCAGACGACTCGAGTGGGTGCCGTTTTTCTCCCCTAGGAGGGCATCCGCTGGGATGCTACACCTCCTCCTCGATGGTTGGATGGATCAGCAGTGTTAAGCGCCGTGCCCGCACCACACGGCGGGTTGCGAGGTTGGAGGGCGGGCTCTGGCTGGCCGGTGCTTGGAGACGGGCTCTGGTGCGAGGTGTTTGGCCGTGGTGATGGTGGTGGTGGTGCGGGGCGCTCAGGGCGGACCGGGTCTGGAGCCAATCGTGTGGCCCGTCACACTGCAGCTTCTGCACCTCACGGCAACATCATCCAGGGTTGAGGAGGGCGAGGGCGCTTAGCCAACTGCCGCCCTTGTTGGCTGCCCGTCCAGTAGGATCGCCCAGATGACTCTCCCACCCGTTTCTGGTTCTTCGGCTGGCTATTCTTAGGGTTAGATCAGAAACCCGGTCCCCGCTTCTGTCACCACTTCCCGGCCCATGTCTGCATCAACCACATGTGATGCCTCGAACTTGCTGCCATTTTCGCTGCGCGAGACCCTTCCGCGCTGCTGCGTTGAAGAGACGGGTGGGACCCGCGAACCATCCGCTCGCTCGAAGCCTCTATGCGTCCCCTTTGCGCGGCCTTGACGCTGGCTTCTCGTCTCGCCCTGGCGGTTGAGTCCGCCTGCATGTACGCTCACGCATCATGACAGGAGTTGAGTTGTGGTGCCTGTATCTGACCCCCCAAGGTTATTTGTAGATCCCAAATGGTCAGCATCGGTCAGTAACAATGAATCCGTCACCGACACTTCAGCTCCTACCCTAACCTTTGATGGAGTCTTCCGGGTGGGCGGTATCCACGTTTTCCCATGTAACGTCCTGCCTACCTACATATATGTAAGTGAGTCTTTGGCGGGCATCGCTAACCATGCCATGGGCCTTGGCCAGCATGGCAGCCGGAAGCCCGCAGCAACCTA